AACCCTTTCTTAGCTATCGTTCAGTCTCACATGTAACCCTTTCTTAGGCATCGTTCAGTCTCACATGTAACCCTTTCTTAGCTATCGTTCAGTCTCACATGTAACCCTTTCTTAGGCATCGTTCAGTCTCACATGTAACTCTTTCTTAGCTATCGTTCAGTCTCACATGTAACCCTTTCTTAGGCATCGTTCAGTTCATTGCAGACGTCCCTCTTGCTCACTTTCAGCTCGGTCCCAGCTTGATCTTATGCAGCTGCCTAAGTGTGATGTAATGAAGCATTAATGTACGGTGACGTCATCATCCACGTTGCTGCCCCCCCAAGTCTCTTTCTTATTTTCATTTAATTTTATACCAAGTACTGCAGTGTTCGATCAGGACTTTTATTCCAGCGCAGAGAAGCATAAAGACTGGCAACCTGAATGAGGTAAATGCCATCCAGTTTTACAAGCTGGATCACCGCTGCGTCATGTGCTGCGCCAGTTCGAAAAACAAAAAGATGTAGAAAAAAAAGAAGATGAACATTTGGAAAGTGCTGTCAGTCTAAGGTGATGTGTAGCATGTGCTGTGTGGTCATTATCCGAACTAACACAAAGCATGATAGCACAGCCAGCTCTCATTCTGTAACTCAAGACTGTCTCATAGGGCGATACAGATTTCTGTCTTTATGTTCACAAAAGGTTACCCCAATCTGAGGTGTACACACCTAATTAGGGAAAAAAGAGAAAGAAAAAAAATATATATACAGGGTGTCCATAAAGTCTCTTTACAATTTAAAAAATGTATTACAAAGGCAATTGATGAGATATCTTCATCAGATTTGTTCAATGTACTCAAAGTTTTTAATCACATTGCAAACAAAGGTACAGGACACCACTAATCTAAAGCAGAGGATCACTGATGCCATTGCCACCATTGAACCAGCGAACATGGCAAGAAATCGAGTACCATCTTGATGTGCTTCGTGCAACTAATAGTGGCCATATAGAGGTGTATTAAATGAGGCAAAAAAACTGAAATATATACATCTCATTTTGTAATAATTTCCACATATCTGTCTTTTCATTTGCCTTTGTAATAAATTTTTGAAATTTTAAAGAGACTTTATGGACACCCTGTATATATAACATTTAAATGCATGTGTTGCAACTCCCCTGTGTAATCTGCAGTTCTTTTCTGGCCAGAGTTCTCCTGGGCAACCTTTACTTATCAACAGAATTGTGGAAAATCGCGGTAAGTTTCCCGCTACCTCAGTCACTCGCTATTATAGGGGCATGTTGATTCCGGATTGCTTGTTAGTCCACCTGCAGTCTAGCTGCCCTCAGGGGCAGTGACAAATGACAGATTGTGTCACAGGAGTCCAGAAATGGAGCATTATATTTTAGTACTTAAATAGAAAGTTAATGGACTCTCTGGCCCTGCCAGCTAATGGCACTAATAGTTTATCAACACGCTTGTTCCTCATTACACATCTGTCCTTCCTGTGCCCCCCTGCCCGACCGTTTGTTCATCCATTTGCCGTCCATCCCATGTGACAGCAGGTGTCTTCTCACCCATCGCTCTGGCAGACTTTCTGCCCCGGCTCGGGAGGCCCCGCCCCCTGCCGAGGCTCCGCCCACACGCTAGCAGTTGCTGCTGTTTCGGAACTCCCCGTTCTCGGTGATTTGCAGCTTGGTGGGGTTGGTGGGGGAGATGCCGTTGCGTGTCTGCATGGTGTACCGCTCCTTCAGCTGTGTCAGTGCGCTCATCAGCCGCGCGTTGGCCGCGTCCAGGGAGGCGATGCGCTTCTCCTGTGCCGCGATACAGAGGAGACAAGCGGCCTGGGTCAGGCGGGATGCGGCCTTGACTGCGAAGACTCCCTCCTGTCCGAAGGGCTGAGACCTGCTCTGGCTTTCAGGTTGCTGACATCAGGTATCACAGTATTACACACACTCATCTGCCTGAGGGAAGCTTAGGGGCTCAGATTTTAATTATGCTGCCCAGTCCCTTGTTGTGGACTGAGGTTCAGGCGACTGCTTTGTGTTCATTACTTTGCGTTTGCTAAATAACAGCAGGTTGGTCTGACTCCCTTCTTCTGTCATTAGTCAGCAGATTTGTTTGTAAATGCTAATTAAGTGAAGCCTACCTGAGAATTGTACCTCAGACTTATATGGCACTAGATTGAAATTGCTACAAACAAGCATCGCGGTATCATAATAATATGGATGTGAACCTTGTTTTCTGGCTTGATCGTGATATTTACACCCCGCTGTGAAGTTTAAACTGTGAACAAAGTAGGTTACCTAGAATAAGGTCAGAAACTAGGGAGATGCTAAATGTGACAGTGGAGAAGGCCTGAGAGATGTGAGATGGTGCAGAACCGCTGAAGCCTGCCTGCAGGGCAGACTACAGTAAGCAGAACCGAATTTTAAACAAGAGAAAAACTCTAAACATAGAAAACTGCCCGGGAACTCTAAGATATAAAGAGTATCTGTAATATATATGGAATTAATTGGCAAATAGAGACGCCCATGTAGGGCCCCAGGCAAGTCTCGGTGCCAGTGTGCAGTGCCTGGGACACAGTGAAGCAGGCTGGCCAGGTCCAGGCCTCCTCAGATGCAGTGTGTCCTATTGGGCTAGCTGGCACTGCGTGAGGCTTCTCAAAGTAATGCCTGGGCACCAGCTGCCTTGGAAAGGCACTGAATACTGTTGCCTTGTGGACTCTTCTGAGTATTCTATTATATAGTCAACTCCTATAACACATTTATTGTTTTTTGTGCCACCAGGTGGTGCCATTTCACAGCTTTTAACTCCCTTTTGTATTGACCTGCAAGTGTTTGGTTCAGTTTTAAAGAATAAACGAATAATTTTAACTATACAGAACAATTTTTTAGATAATGTAATTTAAAGGTTATTGGTTGCTTCTGAAAGAAAACTTGTCCACTCACCTGAGCTTCTATTATCTTTTGCTTGGAGTCCACCACAGCCTGCATGTCTGAATGATCTTTCTTCAGCTCCTCCTCGACAGACATTAACCTGCAGCAGAGAGGTCTTGGGTGTTGGTGTGTACACCTAGCTTAGCAAGGTGGAGTAAAGCAGCCCTTCACCTTGCCCTAAAGGTGCCTAGTCTCTTCCTCTCTGTTGCACATATAACATCCACAAAAGCCAAACCTTTAGCACAGGAGCTCCTTCATCCCAGTATTACTCAACCACACTCATGTGCTGCTAATACTTGTTGATTTATTAACAGTAAAAACATTCAAATATGAAAAGCCCCCCCCAAAACATAAAAGCCACGCTCCATGCGATTGGCTTCACTTTGCTCTAATAAATGAGATTTGATCATCTTCTCTGATAGGAATTTCATGTGAAAAAGGAGATACTTATCACGTGATTGAATCCAGACTCATTGCGACCTTGTACTGGATAAGGTGTGTGATTGATGGATTATAAGATAAAGTTGGCGCAAGAGATGGATCACAAGTGATGTACTTATTAAAAGCTTGTGATTATAAAATGCATTCGATAAATGCTGATGTGAGGGCATCAATCAGCAAAAACCAATTACGGGTATAGATGGGAATCTATGGGTACTCTGCACCTTCTTTGCATCTACTCGAAGAGGCCCACCTGCTGATGATGCCCTTCACCCATCTACCCAAAGAGGCCCACCTGCTGATGATGCCCTTCACCCATCTACCCAAAGAGGCCCACCTGCTGATGATGCCCTTCACCCATCTACCCAAAGAGGCCCTCCTGCTGATGATGCCCTTCACCCATCTACCCAAAGAGGCCCACCTGCTGATAATGCCCTTCATCTGCAGCTCCTTGTCCTCCTGCTGTCGCCGTAGCCGCTCCTCAGACTCCTCCAGCCGGGTCTGATACTCCATCAGCATCTTCTGGGTGTGCTCATCCTGGTCCTTCAGCCGTGACTCGTACTCCTCCAGCTTCTGCAGGGACAAGCGCAGCTTCTCCTGCAGAATGGCGATCTCCTGCTGGTACTGAGAGGGGCAGGAGAGCACTCGGGTCAGACAATGCCAGAAAAAAAGTGCCGCTGAGGATTTGGGTTGAGGGGGGGGTGTTTCACACGCCTCCATGCAACCTTGAAGATGAATGTTTTTTTTAGGTCTCTACATTAATGCTTTGTGTGTTTTCAGTAGCTGTGGCAAATTAGGCTAATTTTACCACATCCTTTTAAACTGCTATTTCATTAGTTATTGTTATTATGTATTGCTTAGTTGATGGTTTTATTCAAAGTGACTTACAACTCTGCTTGAGTAGTTTATGTTAAATAGTGCTGAAGAATAACAGCATGTTCTTGGACAAAACAAACAGCAGGTTACTTGAACAGGCAATCATCACGTTACAAGTTAGCGCCCTTAGCTAGCATACCAGCTGCTGCTTTTAATGTCCAGTATGTCCGCACTCAAGCAATCTTCAAGAATTCACTAAAAGCTGTTTTATAAAAATGACTTTTCTTCAAGCCTGGGTTTAAGGCAAGATCGACAAACAAATTTCTTTTTAGAAAAATACAATATAATTATATTTTTATGGAGGATTTCTACAATCCATTCTGTTCTATGTTTATTTCACCATTTAACAAAATCAAAAAAGTCAAAGTCCCCCAAACTCAAGCTACTATTCATGAAAAATAATTATAATGCATTACATGCAAACTTCACACCTTCTGAATGACAACAAGTCCAAAGCAGGACACTCTACCTGCTGGTGACATAGATATTCTGATTGGTCAGGTAGTAGAGCATTGCTAGCCAATCAGCAGTCATGTTTTGTAACGCAGACAGCTCCATGCACTCTGTACAGAAAGTGTGCAGCTGGACACCTAGTGGCCTGTCAGCAAGAATTACAACACTGAGATAATTGAGTGGCAAATTTATAGGGCTTCATCCTTCATTTATGAAGGAGGGCTTTGTGTGACTCCTTGGTTGTTTTACCAGCGCAATTCAAATTCAGCAGGCGGCATGAACCAGATGCCGCATAGACAGCTGCCTGTGCTAGAGGAGGGAAGTCAAACAGATGCTAAAGGCAGCATTTCACCCTATTCTGTCTGACTCGAATGAGGTGTAAGCCCCAAGTCCAGGGTATTCTCCTTAGCAAACAAACTCTGACAAGCATGGCCTCCAGGTTCGAACTGTAAACATGGCTTGCGGAGGCCCCTGCCTTTTGCAAACAGAGGTACGTTGAACGGCACTGGATTCCTGCAATGACGAGTGCTCTTGGTTCCCGAAGGACACGGAGACCCCGTAAGCTGGGTTGGCTAAGAGCAGACGTTATCGAATCCACCATCCATATTCTCCTTGTTTAAATCAATATCTCAACTCATAGCGATCTTACAATAGTACATCGCAAAGGGACAGAAGCAGCCCGACAGGCTAACGATGTCCACCGCACTTATGTTATACTGACTGCGACATGTGCTGCAGCAGAAAGAAGCTATTGGATATGTTAGGCAAGGTATGACCCCCCTTCATCTCCGACGGTAACAAGGCGCTGAAGTGGATTAACACTCTACACTCAGCTCCACCTCACTGCACACCCGCAGGCTTCGCCTGGCGGAACAGTCGCGAGACGACGTTCCAGGTGACAGGGTGAGCCTTGCTTCTGTGTCACATGTCTGAGCCGTGTGCCCAAATTCAGCCCAGGAGAGCTGAGCCTGCTTATGTGTGTAATTCTGGGAGTAATTGGAGACGTTTCTGGCAGATATGAGTGAGGGACCAGAGTGAGCGTGGTTCTGGGCTCTTTTGCCGAGGAGGGAGTGCTGGTTTTCGGAAAGAAACAAATGGATTTTCACCCATCCCTGGTGTGTGTGTGGAAGATGACTTAACATTCAGAGCATTTCAAATGGTTTTCCATCTATGAAGCACTTAAATGCTATAAAATAAAGCAAATGAATACCGTGCTTAAAAAAAAAAAGAGAAATTATATTATATAACCTATTTAAAAGAGCTACATAAAAGAAATTATACTGATAAAAAAATGCACATTTAAGGCTAAATTAATTAAATTAATATTAAAATAAGATTTAAATTAACTGAATTCTCATTAAATCATAATAACACATAGGGTAGACAGCCGTACGCAATTTAAGTTTTTGCGAAGCATTTGGAGTTTTAATCCTTTGTTGTGGGGGTTGCTGGGGAGAGGCAGTGGCTGAGCAGACGGGGGGGGCGGCCTGGTACCTTCTCAGTCTGGGTGAGCTCCTCCTTGCTTCGGGGGTCCTCCCTGTGTTTGGGATCTGTCTCCAGCCCTTCGTGCTCTAAATACTGCGCGTTCATATTCAACAGCCAGGCCGCCGTTCGGTCCAGGGCATTAGGGTTCACCGGGGAGGGGGCCTGGGTGGGATGAACACAGCACACGCGTGAGGGAGTGGCAGCATGGAAGCGGGGGACTGGAAACAAAAGGGGGAGGCAGACATGAAGCAAGGGATTGTGGGTACCAACACGCTGGTAGGGCGTTCCCCACAGCATACCGCAGCTGTCCGAAAATACATATTTAACACTACAGAATAGAAATTCCTGATTTATCACGGCCGATCTGAATTAATATGTGTTTCTGCACAATGTGCTCTGTAAATGTGAGGGAATGCCTTAGGGCCAGGCCTTATATATACATACACAGGAGACATTAAAGACGCAGAATTAAATTACACTAATTATATGCAGAAGACTGCAGTCTCCTAAACGATTTACTTAAAGAAATTAAGTACTATTATGGAGAGATGGGAAGATAAATCTCCAACATATTAGCTGAGTATGGAGACGAGGCAGAGAAGGACTTATCGTTCTTACACCAGTTACATTCCCTGCATTATTTGCAGAGGAAATGGCATAAAATAGTCTTATTTACTCTAATAGGGGTGCCTTTTATAGATCTTAAAGCCAAACACATTAATAAGTTGCAATAATTTAGACACTGAGGAAAGCCACTGAAAGACGCTGAGAATGACACAGGTGCACAGGCGTGCCGGGAATGTGGATGACAGGGCATGAACAGACGCAAGTGGGTTTGCAGAAAGGAGTTCAAGCAAAACTGGTAGGAAGAAAGTACTCAGAGGTACTCATAAGCCGATGACAAGTTTTAGCAGGTGTCAGATTTAATAGCAGTAGTGAAACATTCTGATGAATAGGGAGGCAAGAATTGACTTATAAACTGTGGGAATGAATAATTATAATAGCTGAATGACATTCGGCAATGGCTGTCCCCTAAGCTGAATACTGATAATGCTTTTGAACCACTAGTGATTCATTTTCATTTAAAGACTGCATTAGAGACTGCACTGTATGTCTAACCAACAATAATTACACCATTTTTGCCTGCCAATCATCTCCTAACTTGTAATTGCTTTGCTGGCTAGTTCTGCAGATTGTGAGGAATTCTTGGCTGCGTAATACTCTGGCTTTCATGACTATACGCCCAGGGATAGAGCCAGATGCCTCGGGTGAGGACAGTCCCGTGCTCCGGAGCTCATGTGAGATACGCGGTACGGTGAATCGGAGCCGATGCCTGCGATCATATCAGCTGACCTGCTGACCATCATGATGCAAAACTCACCCACAGCACTTCAACTCAAGCTTTCAGTCTAGAGTCAGGACAGTCATTACGGTTATTATCAAAATTGCTATAATTTTGCCAATACTTTTTTTTTTTTTAAGAATCATCGTTCGACTTCCAAACCATCCCATAATCGACTAAAACCCTCAACGAAATGTAAAAACACAATGTTGCATAAATGGGACTCATGGGGATCATAACTAAGGCAGGCCACACACATATATGCAAGAGAACATGGTATAGAACACAGAATATTTAGAACCATTTAATGAGTATCTTCATATTTCTGTGCTATTAATGATGCTTGCTATTAGGTCATCTTTTAAGTTCATGTTAACCTGTATCTGATGAGTTATGTTGATAAGAGACATATCCGAATGAGGGCTGGGTTTAAAAAAATCTATTTTTCTGATTGAATTCGATCTTCATTTGTATAATCAGATATTGATTAATAAAATCTAAAGATCGATTTTTTAATATATGCCTTTTACAGTCTGTAGCCTTTTACCGTGGAGGTGTGAAGCTTTAACCCAGTTAGTGTTGCGTGGCCAGACTCGCGCAACGAGATCTGGCAACAAAAACAGATAAAATGACACGGCAGGGAGCTGCTTCACTGAAGGTGCCATCAAGCCTAAAGGTAAATGGCTGCGTGTCTTTCGGGTTTCAGAAATATGAAGACAGTGAAGAGCTGGACAAAAGCAAAGTCATGCAAAATGGAAATGAAATACTGTGGAAGTACCACAAATCTGCAAAAACATTCAACGAAACATTATCCAGATATCTGCAATCTGGTCCGATCTGAAACTTATTGGTCATGTTAAATAAAAAGTTCATTAATGCAGTTACTTTGGGGTCAATTCTTAATGCACATTTTAATATTTTTAACAATGCACTTACAGAATAAGTTCTCAGAGAATCTGTTTCCTATCCAAGCAAAATTGGTATTGTACTTGAAATATAATCGCATCAATATCGAATTGAATAAAATTGAATGGGGACCTTGTGAATCGAAACTGAATCAATTTGGGAAATCAGTGGTGACAGGCTGCACTAATCCGAAGCCTCTCACCTGCTTGTGCTGTGTGTGCTGCTTCGTTTCAGGACTGTCCCCCTTGGAGGACGATGACTGCTGCCGGAGCCTTGCCCCACTGCCAGGCCAGTCCGGGGATGATGACATCATGCTGCCACTAGAGGGCCGGGGGTAGGGCGCGGTGTTGAGCAGGTTGGGGGGAGTGCGCCCCCTAGCAACTTGGGGTGGTGGCTGATCTATCCGGCGCTGGGGTCCAGAACTGTTCTGCCGCGGGACCGCGGGTTGTTCCAGGGACAGCTGTCGCCGGGAGAACTCTCCGGAACGTCGGGCGTAGTCCTCGCCGCTGCTGCCCCCGCCTCCACCCCCGCTATGGTTCAGGAAGCCCTGCTTGCCGGCAGTGGCATCCTCGTTATTGCTGTGCGAGCTGACAGAGCTGTGGCACTCTGACCCGGAGTCCCCGACACCCCGAGGTGACACGGGCAGGCCCGCCGCCATCTGGTACACCGGGTTCTGGAAAGACAATGGCGCCAAGAGTTGTGTCCGGCCCGGCAAATTCTCCGAGTTGGGTGTGGTGGGGCTCTGGACGCCTCTTCTCATGGTGGGCTCGGCCGCCACGCTGGCCTGGGGGGTCCGAGCGGTCCACACCCCGCCCCCCGGCTGGCTGTCGTTGAGAGCCTCCACAGAGAGGTTGGCCCCGCTGTCCAGGCTGCGGCTGTCCTGCAGGTCTACCATGGACAGGCTCTTGCTGCCGTTGGGCATCTGCATGTCGGGCTCATTGGCTTCTGAATAGCTGGAGCTTCGTGCGGGCGACGGCTGCGCCCCAGAGTTCCTCGTCACGAAAAACAGGTCCTTGTTCTCCGGTGTCGGAGACGGCAGCCTTGTGAAGTCCACCAACCTGATCGAGGACAACACAAGAAAAGCAACGGCATGCTTTCATAACACGGCTTCTCCTGTCTGACGCGATCTAAACGCATCTTGGTGGAAAGAGCTGGCTCTGATGCCGGGGAAGGCTTTCTTTATAATTCAAGAGTGAGCAAGGGGCCTGATGTGATTGTTTCTGGGGGAAACATGGCACCCAATGAAGACACGCTGCTCTGAGAGCAGACGAGCTGCGTTAGTATTCCAGCAGCGTCTCTGCACCGCTCCTGCTCAATCCGTCCCCGGGAATAGGCTCCGTGTTCCCTTATTGTCCTGAAACTATTACTCAGACACGGTGATTTATTTCTTTGTAACACTGACCACCGGCAAGTGCATCGCTCTGGCCCTTTCCTCCCTGTAAATAGTCTCCAATTAAAGGGAACCAGTGAAGGAGCAAACACCTCGCCCCAATAAATCCATGGGGCTGGTGTAACACAGCCAGATAAAATAATGACAGATGGTTTCAAATGAAGACTTTTTCAGAGGGCCCAGCTGTCTTTATTTCCCTTAAAGGAGCCCTGTGAAGGATCATCTTATAAATGAATATACACAATAACAATGAGGTGCACTTATAAGGTCAGTGGGTGTGTTTCCCAAAGCCATCTTTGTGAAGTTCTATGTTAAAAGACAGAACTTACAAACAATGTAGCGTTAAGAAGGGTTAGGGAAACTCACCCCTGCAAGGTTGACAATACATTAGGTACAAAATCACTACTCTTGTGCAAAGTCCTCCGTACAGTGGCATTTGGCAACAAGCCCTCCTGTACCAGTCTCCCCCAATCAGGAAATAACATTCCATTATTCAAATTGGTACATTTCTAAGCTGCTTTGGAGAAAGCTACTCAAATGAAAAAGACAAAAACACAGATTCATTGTACTTAACAGAGATATCATGGTTTGTATAGGGTAGATGTTTCAAACGGCTACCACGCTGCTGTACCAACCCGGACAAGTCGCTGTCGATGACCATCTTCTGCAGGCCAGTGGAGATGCTGCATGCTGCCCCCGGTGGTGATGCCAAGCGCTCGCAGGGGCGAGACGCCTGGATGCTGGAAGGGTTTGTCAGAGCTGTGTTGACATCGCGAAGGACCCGTGGGAGGGGCCCCAGCTTGGAAACTGTGCCCTGCAAAATGAAGGGGGGGGGGGCATGACATCAACGATCGATCAGCTATGCTGGAGTGCTGGCCAATCACGCTCCAGTTACTGTGCCTTTTGTCCTTCTACTGAATTCCTGCAGAGAAATTAAGCACAGGCTGGCCTTTTCTAATTCAAAGGGCATTTCAGCAAACAAACTGTAATTAATTAATCGGAACGTTAAGCACCTACGGTTGCATTAGGTACAGAGCTTGAGTACAAAGCTCTCTGCTTTTTTTCTTAAGCTGATGCTAATATGCCTGACCTAATAATCGGGAGGGGAAACTCTCTTTCGAACTGATTTCACCATTAGCACATAAATGACTTTCTGAGCATACTTTCCCTGGAAGAGCTCCATGAAATACCACAACTGGATGGGCCGAGCTTTTACACTTAATCTATTTCACTAAGTTTAGCACAGACAAAGACATGTGAACCACGCAAAACGGCAAGGCCACTGTGGTAATTAATGTCAAGTTTGTCTAAAAACCTGGCCAGAAAACAGACAGTCATTTCACAAACACTGGCATAATGAAACTATGCTGTATTAAAACTGTAGCTTTAAGTGGACACCATTAGGGATTCATTTACAAAATGAGACAAAAATTTGCCACAAGCTCTGAACAGACTGTTCAATACAATAGCTGTAAGAAGGATATAAAGTACCAGTCAAAAGTCTGGACACACCTACTGAAAATCATTTATCAGCAAGATAACGAGCCTAAGCGCACCTCAAGGTTATATAAGTGCTGTGTTATCTTGTGAACAAGGAAAGAGATGGAGTGCAGTGACTGATGAACTGGCCCCACATTCCCCGACCTAAACCCTAGTGGGCTGGTTTGGGGTGAGCTGGATCGAAGAGTAAGAGCAAGGTAGCCAACGTGTGCCCAGAACTTGTGGAAAGTCCTTCAGGACAGTGTGAGAAGCATTCGACATAGCTCCATGTGGAAGCAGGCTGAGAGAACGCCAAGAGTCTGCAATGCTGTTATCAAAGCAAAAGGGGGCTGTTTTCAGGAGTATAAGTTTGACATTGAACACTTCTCTGGATTGTTGCAATATTTGATATGCATTACTTCATTGCCTGAAGCCCTTTTATTACAAGGTGAATAGCAGCTGAAACAGGGACAAATGCATTAAAAACAGGTGTGTCCAGACTTTTTACTGGCACTGTATGTATAACTGAAATGTTTGTAATATTTTAGGATGTAAACAAGGGTGTATTCACTGATGGAATTTATATATATGAAAGAGTACGCAATAATCCAGTTACGCAAGCGTAAATCATTTCTGTTTGCCAAGTGTGTTTTGGATGTGTCCTTTGTTATTTTCAAATACCACACACACAGACCTGTATTTCAGCAGTTCAGATAGAAATTTAATTGGAAATGTGTTGTAAATGCAAGCCTTTAAAAAGCGGCTATGGCAGACTAAAGACTAGGAAATATTTACTGGCTCAGTGTTAAAAAAACACTCCCTTTCAGATGACTGTTGATGCAGTTAAATAGCTACTCTTTCATGACATGTCATAACACAGTTGTCTGCTTTACAAGATTACCGATATGCTTATCTATTATAATTTCTAATCTTCCCGCCTTTGTGTTTCTCCACAGCACGTCGACTCCATTTAAGCAGAGCTGCTCATTTAACATCTGAGGTTCTTCCCACGGCACGCTGCAAGGCGGGCCCTCATCATTGTCCCATTCGTGAACAAACGACATCGCTACGGATACGGCTCGTCTCAGTTGGCGCCGTGGTAACATGCGGGGGAAATGTGCTTCAAACCCACTAACAAGAACGCTGCCAATGCAGCACAGAACAACGTGCCCCGAACTCCAATCGGGCCTCTGACTGAGGCCAAGAGGCCAGAGTCAGCTCCAGAAAATGGGAAAAGGACTTTTTGTTTCCATCTTGTTTTCTTGTTAACCATCTGGTACTGGAATAAACAAGTGTGTACGTCTGAAAATTAACCTTCCATCAAAAATGTCACAAGATAAGTATCGATATTATATAGGGTGTCATCTGAAGGTTTTAGACATTACCTGATTGCAGATTTAGGTGTTAAATAAAAGACATTTTGTAGTTTTAAATGGCAGTTATTCTTAACCAATAAATCAAAGAGCTTTTCTATAAAAGATATGGAGCAAAACAGTTTAAAAATACAACCAATGGCCGATAACGTAAGGATGCCAGCATCAGACACCTGTTATAGCTTCATAACCTTCACATAACCCTCATCTAGGGACCTGATGTATGCTGTGAAGTTCGGCTGTAGGTCTGCATGGCGACCAGAAGAGAACACACACCTCACCATCTTCTGAGGGAATGTGTGCGCGTACCTGATCCAGCTGAGACAGCACCTCCGACAGCAGAGAGTGCAGCATGGAGAGCTCGCGGCCCAGGTCGATGTAGCCCTCAAAGCCGGCCGTGTTGGAGATGGTCTCGGGGTTGGAGATCTCCAGCAAGAAGCGCTGCATGTTTGTCCACTCGTGCTCCAGGAACTGGTTCATGAAGGACATGTACTCCTCTTTACTGCCGAACCTGTCATGGGGAGTCGGTCAAGGGCGGGGGGTCAGTTTTAGGCTGATGCAATGACAGGGATGAAAGGATGGGGGGGCGGGGGGACTCACTTGGTGAAGTTGGCCAGGTTCTGTGTAACCTTGGCGATGAGCGTGAGCGTGCGGGCCGTGCGGTCGTCCGGGTACTCCTGCATCAGGCTGAAGAGTGACGGGGACATGACAGCCGGGCACAGGAAGCGCAGGAAGAGCGAGGCGCTGATGAGCCGCTCGCTGATGTCCGGTCGCCCCCGGTTACCGCACTCCAGTCGCCATGATGCAAACACTTCCTTCAGCTCCCGTGGGAACACGCTGTCAGGCGCAGGAAGCAGACAAACACCCACCAGGAAATCTTCAGGTAAACAGCACTCTCCTTTTAATGATGAATAAACTAATAACGTTGATGGATATTGTTTCTGATTAGATAACAGTCGTAACGATCTTGTCCTTCCCTTTAAGATGCTGCTACTTAAAAACAACAGGCAGCAAAAGCAGAGCACCCCTTAATCAATTTAGCAGCTACATAAGTGATTCTGATCATCAGATGCAAACCAGATGTTTCATCAAATAAGATGGACACAACAGCTAGTGCACAGATGGTGAAGAATTACCACTAACAGGCCCATAGCCAAAAGTAAATTTCAGACTCTCTCAGATATATACCAAGCTGCAACAGTCCACCACCCATCCATGCATTATCTGAACCGCAGTTTGCCCTAATGGGAATCTAGATGAGCCAGAGGCTATCCCATAATGCACTGGGCACAAGGCGGGATCATGATCACGTTAACATGAAGGTGAGAATGTGCCGTCGTCTGCACTACTGTCAGAATCAGAGCTACGTCAGTGACGGGGATGAGGGGCTCCGTTACCAGTAGGAGTTGATGATCTTGCAGAATGCCAGCTCACAGCACATCTTCAGGTTGCTCTGGTGTTCAGGAAGATCTCCAGCGGAGCACTTGGAAGAGTCCACCTCACAGTTTTCATCCGACTCATACAGCGCCTTAATGAACTCACCTTAGAGGGGACAGACGTTGGAAATGGCAAATTATCACACGTATTGGGGCATCCGAAAAGCACAAAGAACCTCAATATTTTAACCTTCATTCTCAGGGCAATTTAGTCAATAGAAGCTCAATAGTTTTTAAAACAATACTTTTTTGACATGTGAGAAAAAAAAGACATTTAACATTTGGTTTGGTATTGTAACCAAATTCTTGAATTTTACAGAAATGTACCCAAGCCCGTACTCTGAGTAAGCGACTTCCTTCGAAGAACTTCCTGTTTACTTATATTCTTATTTAACATCCTGTTTCCCTGTTTTTCTGCCTTTATACACCACCATTGTACATCTGCCGTATTATAAAAATAATTATAATGGGGTTATCATGACACTTGAATTTCTAACTTCGATGCGATACCAGGAAAAATATCGATATCCAATACTATTTTCCATAACACAAGAAAAAAACTGACAAAACATTGAGGGTATGAAAGTTAACATTTTTATTAAAAGATTTTTTAGACTACAGTCAAACTATATTCCCTATTTACTGAAACCGTGCTGTCTGAGATTCCTCACGCCTGAGAGTTCTGAGGGGGATTTGCTTAGCTTTGAGTATTAATGGCTGTTGGACCAACAACAGGACAACAGGCTTTTGAACCATCTTTGGGCCATCTTTAATGACATCAAAAGGGAAGCAGTCACCAACATCTCAAAACTCTCTATAGTGGTCAGCATATTGGTCCTTTAGGTGCTCTACTAAATTTGTTGTTAGAACCTCTGGTTATCGCTGCTCTGTAGCAAAGCTTGCATACAGCCTTGTTCGTATCTTTTGGCTTTCCATGCTCATTTGCCTCAAATACAAAGTATCTCCACACAGCACTCCTGCTGTTTCCTCTGTCCAGCAAAACCCATTATGGAGGTTCTGCACTTGCCATCTTTGATTAGCGAACGCCATAAAGGCACCATGACTGTATGAGGGGTGACGGGGAATCGCAATCTCGCAGAGAAGACAGAGCGAGAAAATGCAGCTGGTATCCATTCTGGAAAATGATTTGTGAAACTGCTTCAAATATTCAGTATCGGTATGTATCGAAAAATCTGTATTTTTGACAAGACTAATTTATAATGAAACCACAATTAATGAAATCATAGGCTCGTTTGCCCAGAGGTAATTTACCCAGTCTACATGATTTTACATGAATTAGAAGCTGATACTGCCTCAGTAAGCCCATCAGTTCAGAAGGTTTCCATGCAAAAATGTATGTTTCCCATCTCCTTCCTTCTCATTCCAGTTATTTTGTGGGAACACACTTATTTGCCTAAGGAATTAACGGACTCACACCGCAGAACGTAGCACACCAAATCATTTTAATTAGCCAGCCGCTGTTACATTCACCTCTTAAATCTGTCATTTTAATCTAAAATCTTTCTTTCTTTTCTCATGTTGAGGGTCATTAACATAAGGATCACAGTGTGTCCAGCGCCCACATAGCCTCACTCTTCACTTTTTAAACATCGTAAGCCAAGTGCAACCCACATTTCCCAGCAGTCCACGGAGTACCCGGATTCTCAAACCAGTCAATCTATTGGTATTCTGAAGAATTCAGCTTGGATCAAAAACATCTTAACAATCATGAATTATTTGTAGCAATGAATATATACTCTCACACCAAAACCCAGAGATATTTTAAGAGCATCCCCAGAAGCATAACTGCCAAAATATATACGCCTGTTTTATCTAGCTGAGAAAGAGTCAACGCCGTTGGAGCTTCTCCACCATGGGAGAAGTGTCACTACAGACGGTTCTTTTGTGTGGCTCCCTAGTGGTGGAACAAGCTTCCAAAGCACGTCCAGTCATAACACTCCCTCTCTACCCTCAAGAAATGCCCGAAGACCCATCTGTTCCATGAATTCCTCTACTAGCCTGATTGTTCTTTGAATGCACTTACTCGCCCTTATTAGGTTCTTACTTTGTTAGTAGTTGCATGTGTAGGTGTGTGGCTGTTGTATGGCTCCTGCTTCAGTCCTGCTTACATATGTACCAGGTCACTGTAAGCCCAGGCTAGCTGCACTTATGCCTAGTTCACTCCTTGGCAGCATGAATGCTTGCAATGTGCTATTTGCCTTGCTTGTATGTCATGTTAGACAAATGTGTACTAAATATGTGCAGTGATGTGTTCAAGACCATCTGTTTCGAGATCAAGACAAGATCAAGACTCATCCAACCCAAGACCAAGTCAAGATGATCGAGAACCATCCCAAACAAGACAAGATCAAGACTTTTAATCAAGACCAAAACAAGACCAAGACTTGAAAATTCACAATCAGAATTTAGATTTTTATTTTTTGGTGCACCCATATTGAGGCTATATTTTCATGTATATAATTCCAAAAGATCCTATTACTGAAAAATTGTAATGTTACTCCAAACAACAATGCAGATGTACTAAAAAATACACACAATATAACAAAATCATGTTTACAAAGCCCCCGCTAGCTTGCTGACTTGTCTATATGCCTCGATCAACACTAAACAATGAACACTGCCAACAGTGTCCAAAAGAGTCCAGTATACCTGGTGAACAGCTCTCCGAAAGCAACGTATCAGTTCCTGATGTGGCCTGAGCTGATTGAGAGCAGGGCTGTAGCTAAGGTTTGAAAAATAGTGCAGTCTGGGACCCAGGGGTGAGGGGGTGAGGGGGTTGGGGGGAATGTTTTCTGGGGGACAGGCAGTGTTACATGAGAGTTCATATCAATTAATTGATAGTTTAGGTTACAGCAAGTTATGTCAAGCTATTATATGAATGTGCCTTACTGAATGAATTGAGGTCTATATCATCAGAACATTACAGAGCAGTAAAATATTATGGGTATGAAGCATGTAATTTAAGGTCATTTGTAACCATATATAAAAATAAAAATGAAAGAGAAATGCTTGATATTAACACACCATTACAAGGTAACATGAAATACACTTATTTTGATATCCAAATTCGGCTTTGAAATGTTTCTATGGACACTATTACTGATAGCCCTTCATAAGCTATTTATTATTCTTTTTTTATTAATGACATTATGTGAAACATTAGAATAATCTAGCTCTTTAGGCATAATATGAAAGAAACCCAACCTTTAACATGGCCAGAGAAGCCTAGTCTACACTTATAATTGACATGCTTCATACAATTATCTTTACTCCAAACGCTACAGCAGATTGCAGTTCTGGTATGTTTTTAAGAGATAATGATCTTTATCTTGTTTTACTGAATGATATGCTGCCTGTACACTCTCCCTCACAATGCTGCATGGTCACACACAGACAACGTGAGTTCGGACTGCTGTCGGTGAAGTGCATGCGTGCGGTCGTTGGTCCTCTGTCATGCTACTACTGAATGCTCTAGCACTCTTTCTGTCACACACACACACACACGAACACAGCAGACACTATTAATAACACGTTCAAGCTGAATTAAGAATGCACTCTTGACATTTTCAACTGCTGATTTTTTTTTATTCAGGTGAATGTTTAGCTTCAAATTTTATTGTTAGCTCTTAAAAAAATGACTGAGGTCCGGACCTCGATGACCTATCTAGCTACGGCCCTGATTGGGAATGCTCCTCAGAGAGAGATGTATCCACTCAAGATGAACTCACATGGGCAAGCAAGCATAGGACAACACGTACATCCAGTTAGATACTGTAACCCAAGATAGTAGAGTGTGAGAGACCTATGAACAAACAGACGGACGATCACGATCTTTCCTGCATCTTTCACATTCATTTTTAAATGGCCCGCTTGCTCAATATCTCTTCCTAGCAGCCCCTGCACCCTCCAAAGCTGTCCAATAGCGGTATACCGCTGGGGCAGCTGGGAGAGGTAGTAAATTTTTAAATAGCACTGCTACATGAGAAGAGCGCAGGAAAATTAAATTTCGCTTAGTGAAGGGAAAAAAGTATATTTGCATATCGATTCAGATAATATCAGGTAGAGCGGTCTCAAGACCAAGACTGGATCTCCAGAACTACATCTCTCAATATGTGAATGTAAATCTAACAAAAAATGCATGTAGGTACAGTTCTAAAGCCATACTGTGTGATTCATACAATTATAAAAATACAAATTCATTCATAATGAAACTACTGACAAGTGCAGACACACACGGTCAGGTATCTTCGTTAGTTTTTAATTTTATTTTTATATGTCATTTTATCTTGTTAAACTGTTCTGATTTTTCTTGCTGCATCGCACACTTCACGAAGCACAATTCCAGAAGCAGCAGGAAGTACATTTCACTGCGTTGTTGTACAGTGTACGGCTGTGTATGTGACAAATAAAACTGCAAACCTGAAACAATTCCTACACAGTCCCTGACACCCAGCCTTGTGAAGGTTCTCCCTTGTGAGAGATGCTTATGGTTGGTTTGTGCAGATGGATATCTACACACTTTTTTAAAGTCACAACCTGAGAGAGCAGGATCAGTACTTGTCTATATGCCTTTTACTTTGTCTTCCTCCAGGACTTTTTCAGAGGATAAGATATCACCTTCTTGATGCTCAAACTCATCATGAAAAAGCTGAAATTTTGCAACCCAGAGGGATTCCTTCTTTACATGCCCGGGGAATGCAGTTTATTAAAATTGATAAATTTATAAAATAAAACATGAATCTCTGTGATAACACTTTCTACCTGAAGAGAAGCACAATATCAGACTATCGATATCAGGCACAATATCAGGAATGTCAAATGCATGTCACTTGTGCAGTAGCAAAAATCTCTTTATCTGTTAGATGAGCATGTCAAGTAGTGCTTCAGGCATCAAACACCACGATGGCTAACTTTCACAGCCCAGGTGTCTGCTTTGGGAAGCTAGCTGTGTGTACCTTTCCCCAGTGAATTGAGAATTGTGGGGGATCTGACACAAGGTCTAGCAGGCCCCTCGGGAGTCTGAAGCCAAATATAAAACGGAAATGAAAATGGGAGATGCAGCAACGACCGTGTGGAGGTTTAAGGACATTTACAGGAGAAATAAAATGTTATTGCTTTTCCAACCACAAGACCTCCAGGGGATCCAAAATGTCAGCAAGCACAAAGGCAAGAGAAGAGAGCCCAAGCCTCTGATATTATCACGAAGAAAGTGCACCCCCCCCCCACCCCACCCCACCCCAACACTGCAGATTATCGCTGCCATTCATTCTCGTGACTAGATAAGCACTCTTCATGTACGTACCGAGGGCGTCTTGCAGGTACTTCTGACCCACCAGCTTGAGGTACTCTTCAATGGCTTTGGTAGCCAGAGTGTTCTCTCGAAAAATGAGGTGGTCGTTCTCACCGCAACGGTCCACCTCGGACATCATCAGGTCAGTCAGGAAGTCCTGCAATCAAAAATGTGCTCAGATGCGTGAAAAGCCCTTATAAGCTGTACCTTGCTAAACATCTACAGTGCTCTTCAAAGCACACACAGCATTAAAATAATACTTTTGATTAATTTGAACAGCTTACCAAGAGCAACATGGCCCTCTGCACTATTGGGGGAGCAATCAACCCAACTATAGTACTATAGATCAAGGAAATATGTGTATACGTTCTCCTAAACTATCAAGAAAACAAAAAATAACATGACCCAACCTTTAGCGACTTATCGTGGAGGGATAAATCACCAAGCTGGAGTACAGTCCAGCACAGTGCACATCCACACACACGATTTTGAGACAGCAGTTAGCTTAAATGGACTTTGGAATGTGGGAGCAAACTTGCACAGCATGAGGAGAACATGCAAACTCCACACACACACAGCACGGGTGGGATACAAACCTCCAAGACTGCAAGAATGAGAAAACAGTGGTACCCACAGAGCCACGTAAATCAAATAACTATAATGAAGTAACTGCTGAATGCAGCCACTGCTTCTAATTTGAGGATAATTAATATATTCCCTGCTGCTTTTGTTTGGCAATACACTCTCCTTAGCAACATAATTACAAACATATGGAAACGTGTGGGTTCTTATCCAGTTAATACTTTAATATCTTGCTACACACATTTTTTTGCACTAATATTTACTCATTAAACTACAGGTAATTAAATAACATGGTGAATTTGTGTAAGCAAGTTTGATATGTAGGATTGGCAGATAGTGCTCCTGTTCCTTGAAATATGCTTCAAAACTCTACTATAATTACTGCAGCACACATCTCAAGATCATCAACATCTTAGAACTGGCCAAAATCATTAAACACAGAGATGTAAGATATATAGGTTACCATTTTGGTAATGGCTAACGTTTGTTAAAAATCAAAACACTGGAAATGGTCTGATGTGTCAGTCTTGCCTGATACTGCCAGCTGATTTGTAGACTTTAGTCAGTATGAAAAGTTAGCATCAACAGAGCTAAACTGCTAAAACAATGCATATCATCCTCCGTAGCTGAAGGTGAGGAATTTTGTCACTCATTCAACACTTAGACATCAGAACTACTTCTCTGACGTCTCACTGCCTGCATTAAAAGATGCGGTTGTTATAAATATTCATGGTTTTACTACGGATTTGTGGAGTTCAGAGGTTAACTGGTTATCAGTACAAGTTATCGGAACAAAAATATATTGGTTATCGGTATCAGTAATATGAAACAAAAATATATTCGTTATTGTATTGGCCAAAATTTGCAAACTGAGGCACCACTAAGTACACATACAATTGACTGACAATATGGCATAACATATTTAAGAAACAGTGGTAAAATGGCCTAAATGACATAAAGAACAGATAAGACAGCATGGGTCGATTATCTGCTATATCTGGGAAGCCCTGCTCATAGACAATACAGTAGCAAAGCACATACAGTGGTACCTTGGTTTATGAGCATAATTCGTTCCGGAAACACGCTTGTAATCCAAAGCACTCGTATATCAAAGCGAATTTTCCCATTAGAAATAATGGAAACTCATATGATCCGTTCCACAACTCAAAAATATTCATATAAAAATTATTAATACAAAATATAAAGTAAATAAAACAAATTAACCTGCGCTTTACCTTTGAAAAGAATCGTGGATGGTGTGAGGGAGACGAGAGAGGAGAAGAGGTTTATTTTGTAGGACGACTTTCACTATAATTAACGGAATCACTGCTATCTGTTGGCTCACTGAAATCTTTTTCTGTTTGTGCGACTTTAACAAGGAACCCATCTATTTTCGATTTCACTAAAATGTGGACATTGCATTGTCGTTAAACAGATTCATCGCTCGCACTGTTACGCCCTTATTCAGGTGGTGCTTTTCTACTAAATTTTGACTATACGAGTGAGGCATGCCGACTGAGACCGAGCATGGGAGACGATTACCCACAATTCCGCAGTGTGAGAAAGTGAATAACCATTGGTTCAGTTGTGATGATGTGCGCTCGGCGTCAAAACGAGAACCGCACGCATGCGGTTCCTGTTTTGAAGCCAAGCGCACATAAAAACAAGAAAAACAAGGAGCGCATGTGTGCCATATGATTTTTGATGATACTTGGCGCTCGTAAACCAGGACTTGCTCGGTTTCCAAGTCAAAATTTATTAAAAATCTTTGCTCGTATTGCGGAACACTCATAAACCGCATTACTCGTAATCCGAGGTTCCACTGAATGTATGTTTGTCTTTTAGGCCTTATTATCAGTCCCTTAATAACCAGATATAATGATGCTCTTTTGCAATAATAGCAATACATCCAAAAAAAGAAATGGAATGATAACAAGTCCTTTCCACTAAGTTCTTGTCCTTGCACCCTGGTTCTGGTTCTTAGAGCTCAGCCCATGAGAGCGAATGAATTTTTGGAACAAACATGCACTTCCGAAAGGCCACCAATACTTGACATTTCCTGCTGTGAGAGCATGACGGCGACCCAGAGGCTTAAAGGCTGGATATATTTGTAGCTGACATTTTAGCACTTACATGTGAAATGAGTCATTTGGTAATTCTTTGCAAAAAAATTTTAAACAGCAAAATTCACTACTCAAAGGAGCTTATGAAAGTCCCCTGATGCAGAGACACACAGTGACTCTCACACACATGCACACATTGGCAGGATGAGGGACTCAGAGAATCCAGAAATAACCAAAGAGCAACCGAGTTGCTCACTAATGATGATGCCTTAGATATATATATATAGCTTTTTAACTTTACCCAAAAATAGCTGAAGTAAAATACTTTATAAAAACAGATGGTCGCAGAGGGATTAAACACTGACCGCATACATGTCGTCATCAAGAAGCCCCTTTTGGTGTTTCACATTATACAGAAGGAATTCATCCAGACTTTCCTTGAGAAGTAGAGGCCCTGCAGCTGAATCTTGGAGGCCCTGACTTAAGGAGGCCATGTGGACTCCCCCTGCTGACAGGGTACCCGGCAGATTAGAGTTCGGCTCGGAGGCCCTGACTTTAGGAGGCCATGTGGACTCCCCCGGTTGACAGAGAACCCGGCAGATCAGAGCTTGGTTCAAAGCACCTCATGCATAATCTCACTGGATGGATCCTTCCGGACTATCTGGGCATGACAGATGCTCTGTTTGCATCACTGGGGTTCATATCAAAGTCAGTGCATGTTTCCTAAACATCCCCTTGTTTGTCAGTGTGTGGGTTGAGGCCAATGTTGTTAAACGTCACATTTATTCTAAACAACGTACAACTGAGAAAGCAGGGTCATGACTGATTGGGGTTAAGAGTCTCGCTCAGGGGCCTAACGATGACATCACACTGCCCACCACGAGATTTTAATCAATGACCTTCTGCTTACAGGCATATCGCCCAAACTGGCTGAGCCGCACTCCCTCTTTAAGAGCCATGTGCTGCCCATACACCTTATAGGCAGGAAAGTGCCCCAATCGCACACCCCCCCCCCCAGAATTCTGAAATAGTGACCTAGTTTGGAACATTGCTACTCAAAATAAAATACAGGTCCACAGAAGAGACAGAACACCACTTCCACTTATTTGACGATTTACAAAGAAGGTTAAAAAAAGAGATGCTGCATCTCGCCGTATCCACAACAGAGACCTATGAAGCGTGGGACTAAATGTGACTGCAAAATATGAAAATGGGTAAATGTGCTGAGATTCCTGACTTGGTCCTGGTAGTTCCTGACTAAGAGGGAAGCTCCATCCAAGGCTTGGCATGAATGTAATCTGAATAACTCACAAGCACCTTCACCTCTCTCCAACTAACTTTCATCTTTCAAACAGCTTTCAAACAACAACAATATTACTGTGGGTGACTGCATGTATATTTAATGCAGAAACAATCAAAATGGAAAACTAGACCAATACTTCAGGAATCACAAACATCCTAGACAGCTGCAAGCCCAAAAGCAGTGAAGAGCAGGCTGCAAACTACAGATGCTGCACTACAACCGACCCGCTTAACGGGACACTGCTGCAGTGAGCCTGACTCAGCTTACGGGCATCAGCGAAAAGCTGATACTGGGGAGGGGGGCAAAGAATTATGGGTAAACTGACCAAACATGGCAGTGTGGCGTAAGGAAGGACCCCACACTTCTAGGCCATATTGGTCACTTTTGACATCAGAAATAAATGCAAATTTAAAAAAGAAATACATTTATTATGAGGATTCTATATAAATGGGAGAAAAGGATGCTGTAGGTTAGTTACTTGTCCAGAAAATACATAGTCTGCCAGTGTAGGAACAACCTCCATTTCTGTGGGATGCATGACTTTGAACAGAAGTGCAGCTCATTCACTGCTTGCGCTATCTGTGTGAATGGCAGCACACACTGCATGGAAGGCTAATGACAAAAATGACCACTGCCAGCTGCCACAGGATGCAGGGAAACCTGTCAGGGGGCCCCACACAACCAGCTCAACTCCTGCTGGTGATTACTAATAAGTATACAGCAGGCACAGAAATAACATTCATCCATCCATCCATCCATTGCTTATCCTGGACATGGGCACTGGCCCCTTCGTGCAAACTGACTTGTCCATTAATTTAAGGGGCAATATCTTCATCTCTCCATCTCTCCTGTTAGCTATGGGCGCTTAACTCTCTCTGCTTAACACTTAACTCTCTCTGCTTAACACTTAATTCCCTCTACTAAACACTTACCTCTCTCTGCTTAACACTTAATTTCCTCTACTAAACACTTAACTCTCTCTTCTTAACACTTAACTGTCTCTGCTAAGCACTTAACTCTCTCTGCTTAACACTTAACTCTCTGCTTAACTTAATTCCGTCTACTAAACACTTAACTCTCTCTCTGCTTAACACTTAACTGTCTCTGCTAAACACTTAATTCTCTTCAACACCTAACTTTCTCTGCCTAACTCTTAATTCTCTCTGCCTGGGGGGCAGGGGGGTAAGAGGGCCTGGGGGGTTCAGGCGC